CGGCGGGAGGGCGGAGGTGGGGACTGAAGCCTTTCACAGGGGCCAGTGGAGCGAGGAGGTGCTGCCCCCTGGTGGCAGCTGCGGGGAGCACCTGCAAGGTGGCGAGCGGGTGGCCGGTGCCTAATCCAATCGTGTCCAGGACTGGGAACCCGGACGCGCGCCCTCCTGGGGTGCCTCCACGAAAAAGGGCCGCCCCACTTCCCAAGGGGCTCCTCCTCTCTATCCTCGCGTGAAACAGCACAGCTTTGGGGTGGTTGGAGCCAAGACGCGATGGGAGATGGGGCCTAAATGAGTGCACGGACCCTAAGCATTGCTTGCTCGGGGCCAGACTTCCTTTTCAGTGTGGCTTCTCACCCAGGCCCTGCCCAACGAAAGCCACTCACACAGTTTAAAACTAAGTCAGATTTTTATTTTTTTCCATAGACCACATCATTTAATAATAAAAAAAATAAAAATAAAAATTGAACAAAAGGAAAAGGTGGATATAAAGTGGAACCGGTGGGCTTGGTGGGCTAGAGGCAAGGGCTGCAGGACAGAAGAGATTGGGAACTGCAGGGGCCCCGGGACTCAGGAGGAGACGCTGATTCAGCTCATAGGTGACCTAGTCCTGGCCCCGGCTGTTCCCAAGAGGAGGCTGTGAGTACCCAGGGAGGTGGTGAGCAGGATGGAGGAAAAATTAAAGAGGTTAGGGGCACCTGGTTGTTCCCCACCTCTGGCCAACCCCCTCCCTCCCTAACCTAGCTCTTGCCTCTCACAGACTTAATGGGAAATGAGAGGGAGGAGAGGGCCAAGTCCTCCAAGAGATAGGTTAAGGGGGGTGTGGGGGATAAGAATGGCCACTGTTCCATTTGGTATATGGGGACAGGTGGTTTGAAAGACTCTTGGTTCCAGGGTGGTGGAGATTGTACCCATCCCTCTGTGGCCTGTAACCCCCTGGGGCAGAGTGGCTGGTACTTGCAGCTTCAGCTAGCGGCGCCCACCCCGGTCCCGCACAGGTGTGCTCCGACTCCGGCTTCTGCTGTGGCGCTTGGTGTCTCTGCGATCCCTTTCCCTGCCTCGTTCCCGGTCCCTTTCCCTATCTCGATCTCGGTCCCCTCTGTCACGCTCCCTTTCCCTCTCTCTCTCCCTGTCCCTCTCGCGACTGTGCTCCCGTCGTTTCTCTCGCTCCAGCTGTCGGTTCCGTTCCCGCTCAGCTTCTTTCTCCCGCTCCTTCTGCTCTTCCTCCTCTTGTTCCTTTCGCCGCTTCTCTCGCTCCTTGGCCCGCTCAGCCCGTTCCGCCTCCTTCTGAACAATCTGCAGCCAGGCAGGAAAGGCAGAGAGTAGACACCTCAGCCCTGTTGCCATCAGTCCTTCTGTGCCTCATAGCTCAGGGTCAGTCAGCTTTGCTGTTTAGCAGGAAGGGGCCTCGGGCTCAGCAATCACATCTGTCTTTCTCAGACCACCTCTCTCCTCTGAGTTTTCAACTTTAAGACATGCGGCAGATACTGGCACCCTCCATAGCTATCATTACCCTAGATGTGAACCAACTCTTTTCTCTTTGGTTGAGCAGTATAAGCCTAAAATTCCCCAAAGGCCCATTACTAAGAAAAAGCAAAAGCTCTTGATGTTAAAAAGCAGAGATGTGGATGACTTTATAAAAACACAGTTTAAAACAGTTTCTTGGCCTGGTGTGGTGTAATCCCAGCACTTTGGGAGGCAGAGGTGAGAGGATTGCCTGAGCCCATGGGTTCCAGACCAGTTTGGACAACTCAACAAGACCTCGTCTCTACAATAAACCCCAAAATAGGCTGGGTGTGGTGGTGCACGTCTGTGGTTCCAGCTACTTGGAAGGCTGAGGTGGAAGGATCACCTGAGTCCAGCAGGTGGAGGCTGCGGTGGTCATGAGCATGCCACTGCATTCCAGCCTGGGTGACAGAGTGAGACTCCAACTCAAATAAAGAAACAAAACAAAAATAGTTATCTCAACTAACTAAAATCAAGATTCAAGCAATCTGATTGGCATTGCCAGCTTCCCAGACACCCACAAACCCCAGTTCCTGTCTGTATGTCCATCTTCACCCTCTTGGGCTTGGCTTCTCCATGGCATATTAATCAACTGAAAACTGCCTTCTTCTGTGGTGCTGTCTTTCCTTATCACCCTAAGACAATAAATACCTGGCTCTACTCACTCTCGCAGTCTTATGAATGCTCCCTCACGCTGACCTCAGTGCAACCCTAAGCAGGATACCAAGGAGAGCACTCACCTGGCTGTCAGTCAGCGGGAGCCAGTAGATACAGGGAGCCGCCTTGGTCTTTCGGAAAAGGTCATCCAGCAGCTTGGCAGGTGGTTCCTCCTGGGCTTTCTCTGAGATGGAAGAAAGTGAATCAGATTTGATGCATATGTTCCATCCCACTTGGGTTCCTTTCCCACCTA